ACACACACACACACACACACAAACACACACACACACACCCTGACCTGTGTCTGCAGCTGCTCCGACAGTGTGAGACAGCCGCCGTCATGCGCCGAGGAGAAAGCCTTGGCCGGCAGCGAGACGTTGAAGGTCAAGGTAAAGTTGTAGGAGACCCCTGGCAACGGAACAACACCACACTATCGTCAAGGTGCTACCAGAAAGTCTGTATACTAATTAGCGGCGAACATTTTGGCCAAATTCAGACGTATAGTGCGGTCTAAAATTTGAGGCCCAACTTATCTTCAAATATTTCTTAAACTGGAGAACCATTGTCACCCATATTTTGCACAACAGTGCCGTCAAAAATTCGTAGCGCAAGTTATTGTCAAATATTTCCCCAATTATCGAATATAAACTAGCCAGCTTTTGCACAGTGACTTGTATCAAATTGTCTTAACAGATGATTATTTTTGTAAACACCTGTTAGCTGTATTCAAGAAAATTCCTTTATAGATACTCATAAAAATCCAAGTGGGTGGTTTTTACTGATTTTAAATGGTTTACAGCTAGGACAATGTCGCTTTCAGAAGCAAGTCCATTATTATTTTTTTTTATTGCGAGATTATCATTATTGAACGTATGTTTTGAAAATTTTTACTTTTAGTGCTTAAATTGTTCGCTATAAAATTAATTTCTTTAAACTAGTTTTGCCACTGAAAAATATCATTGATGAGCTGTGGCATAAGTCCTATGCGCATGCAAAATGTGTGCGAGAAGCGGGAAGTGCTGTGAACAATTCCATTTTCCGCGTGAAGGAAACTAGTAGTATTTTATATAATTAATGAAGTAAAGTTTTTTAATCAATCCTCAATTGTTGAGGAAAAATAGGGCTAAGTTAAGACAAATTGATACAAACTGCTGTGCAAAGTTTGGAAGACATTGATTCAACCCTTAAAAAGACATCTGAGGATAGGTTGCACCACGAATGTTGGACCGCACTATAATCATATTTTTCAACAACAATTGAGGCTAGATTAAGAAACCCTTCTTCATGAATGTATATAAAATACTATAAATCTCAGTCACTGTCACACAGAAAACGGGGTTGTCCACAGCACATCCCGTTTCACACTTCTACACACGTTTTGCATACGCATATGGCCTACGTCACGGCTCACCAATGCCACTTAAGAATAATGGCGCGATTAGAAGAAAAAAATGACGGACTTGCTTTTAAAAACAATATTGCCCCAGCTGTAAACCTTTTGAAGTCTTTAGAAATTGGTTTTTTTAAATAATATTTATTTTTTAAAATTCTAGAATACAACTAGCAGGTGTTTATAAAATAAATATTGATCTGTTAAGACAAATTGATACAAAGCCATTGAGCAAAAGTGGGGGAGTGTAAGTTCGATAATTTAGGATGTATTTGACAACACGTTGTGCCACCAATTTTTGACCGCATTAAAGGTAAAAATGAAACTGAACCACAACATTACAAGATTCTTTGCCATGTCAAGGAATCCTA